AATCACAGGGAGGGATGTGGGAGAGTGCTATCACACTGTGGGGGTTGCCATCAATGTTATTAGTCAAAACGTTGTAAATTAATGAAAAAAAATGAATTTTCTCTATAAACATTCACTCAAATCACAACACATTTTCAAAATCTCATTTCTAACAACAGTAGCAAGCTACCTCCAAACCATAGCTAACCTAGGGAGACAAAAAGCTTACTCTTGAAGAGACTAAATTAGAGGCAAATTGAAGGGCATGTATTTAAGCATCTTGCTTGGGGGACGGGTTAGGACTGACAAGAGTGATGATTAATGGGCGTGTGCACTTTCCAGCCTCAAGACTCGAAGAAAAAGACCACTGTGAAGCCATTCAAAGCAGGCTGAGGGGAAGGGGCGGATCAAAGATGGCAGACCAGGCTGAGAAGTTATTCAGACCCTCTACAATGAAAAGCAGAGAAACCAAGTGCAGTGAGTAAGTATGAAAATCCTGCAACCCAGACCTTCAAAGGAAAGGTTAGAGTAGACTATGAAATAGTGATTAGGGGACAAGACTGAACACAGAGGCCCGGGAATGGTGAACCACCATTAGGCGGCCATACTGAATTGTTACAGTTTCCTGATGAGGCAGGCACCTGCCAACCAGCTCCTCTCCACCAGGGGCTGTCTGTACGTGCGACACTGGTGTTCTCACCGGGGAGGTGTGCTCCCCCCTTACCACCCAACCCCAAGAGGACCAGAGGTCTGGCTCCCACCCTCATCCCCACAGCAGCCAACCATCCTCCCACCAAGTGCTGTGCTTCCCTCCACGTTTATCTTTTCATTCTCTTCTCTCCTTCCCCCAACCCCCTGTGAAGTAGTTAGCCCACCTCCCACCGCCTCCGCCCCTGTGGTCGGCAGTGCCCTGCCCTACCCCCCAGCTGATGTGCAGGGTTCTGTGAGGAAGCTTCGCATTCCCACCTCAGTGAGGTGTGGTGGCTGACGCTGCCAGTTCTGTAATTTTCCCTCCTTTTTCTTTCTTACTTCTCTCTTGCACCCCATTCTCTTCCTTCCTCTTCCTTTCCCCCTTCTTTTCTTTAATTCCACAATGTGAGTACCCCACTCCCCTGCCACGTCCACATTGAGGAACTTCTACTCCTGCCCTCAGTGTCGGGCACACACGCTCCCTTGAAGTGACATTCCTGCCACAGACGTGGCTGACAACTTGTTGGTGGCTTGGATTTCTTTTCTTTCCTTTCTCTTTTTTCTTCAATCTTTCCTTCTCTTCCCCTTTGTTATTTTCTTTTTATCTCTTCCTCTTCTTCCCATCCTTATTCCCTCCTGAGCACTCAATAAACCAGTGCCCTTGCCCCTCACTAACCAAGTGTCCCCCCTCCTCCACCACCACAGAGTCAACAACAGGCCGCAGCCAGTGCCCACCAGAAACTCATATTCACTCTCTCACCTGATACAAATTCACCTGAGAATAGATGATTAACCTCCCCAGAAATAGCAAAACACACACACAAAAACACCCCACAACAACAAACCCTAGGTGAAGCAAGCCAACAGGCAACCAACAAATCAGTACAGAAATTCAGCAAAGGCACAGGATCTTGGAAATCACAGACGACATCAAATCACGCACACGCACAAACTAGGGAGAGGGGTTCAAGCAAGTGATCGACACAGAGGATCTGCAAATCTTCCTAAGCAAGTAATGCCACTGGGCCCAGCTGGGAGGGGATTCAAAAGAACTGTGCTTAGGTGCCTACACCAGACTAGGAGCGAGAATGAGACCACAGAGAAAACAAAGTCAGTACTGGGTGAGCTATGGGCCTGAATCGGCGTGCTGTGTTTGTCAGGTGTTTCTGAGTGAATTCTGAATCATGACAGAGGTTTAGGACTGAGGACAACTGCGTTCATAGAGTTTTCTATGTTTTGATCTTTACAAGAGCAAATGGCCAAGTCTTTCTTGTGTGGAATTAACTATTGACTAGATCAGAATCACAAACACTTGGGTCAGCAACCACTGCTTCACTGTTGTGCCACTAGGGCTCCTTTTAAAATACATATAACTGAGAAAATCATGGTGGAAGGCAGGCAAGTGGCAGATCAGGAGTTAGTCAGTCATGGTCCAGGCAATGGCTCCCGCTGACACCATATACCCAATTAGGTCCTCCTCAGTCTGTCCTGGATAAACGTTGTGCCTTAAAGCCAGAATTTACATGATATACTTTCTTTCTGACCCACTGTCTCTTTAGGAAGGAACCTTTGTGGTACAGCGGTTAATGCAATTTGACCACGGCAAGGCAAAACCTGCTTCTGTGATGTGTACAGTCTCAGAAATCTTCTGGGAAGTTCAACTCTGTCCTCTAAGGTCAAGGTGAGTGAGAAGAGACTGCTTGGCAACGGGTTTGAGCCTTTGTAGGTATATACAACCTCATCACAGCAGGGATTCACTTCTTAGGAATCCTAAAACTACAAAGAAATCCTAAGACTACGTTCCTGTCACTTCTGGAGGAATATTTATAAACATCCCCTCAGAAAGTGAAAGTAGTAACTATTGTTTCTAATCTACTGCTCTCTATTCTGGTCTTCCCATGCCCATTTTAAAAACTTGCTAATCTGGTTCTTTTAAAAAGAAAAAAGTAAGTGGTAATAAGGAGCGTTAACGGTTATATCTGTTTCTTAATACATTTTGTCCAGGACTCAATAAGAATGGAGGTTCTCTATCTTTATAACTTGTGGCATTTTATAACCGACTGACCTGGAAATGACTGGGGGTATTTCTGAGCCATAGATCAAGGAGTTGCTATGTTAATGTGGGTTTCAAAAATGCAGATGATAGGAATCTGCCACTTCTCATTAGACTTAAAGTAGTGTGAGAATTTGAGGCAGCGACTATAGACTGAAATGCTTAAAGAGAAAAGAAATAGTATATACGCAAGACACTACTAAGGGCTAATGCCAAGGACAAAATTAAACGTAGCCTATAGCATGTTGTGTGCTGCTAATAATAATAATTTTAAAAGGTCATGTCTCCAACAGCTGGAATTCATGGTGGCTCCTTAGGAGAAAGATGGGTGATCTGTGCTTGTTAAGATTTAGTCTGGAAAACTCAACGGAGAGTCTCTCTCTGGGAAACAATTGACTCAACAGCTGTTGGCGTAAGAGTCAATCACAGAATTAACAATATGGCTCAGTCACTTCCTCACAGCCGCATAGTCAGTACCGACCCTTCAGTGTATTTCCAAGGCTGTAAATCGCATGAGAGGACATTGCCCGTCTGTCTCTCTCCCACTGAGCTGCTGGTGACATTGAACATCCCAGATACGAGTGGCCTTCAGGTTTGCTTTTACAGACGATGCCACCAGAGCTCCCTACGGAATGACTCTCCTCTCATTGGCATCAAGTCGGAGCGACTCCCAGCAGACCATCCAGCATGTCTGCAGAGGGACGTCGGAGGAGATAGGCTCTCTTTCTCCCACGGAGCAGCTGGTGGATTTGAACCACCCACCTTGGAATAGGCAGCACAGCTCCCTACCCACTAGGCCATCAGAAGCCAGAGTTTTTAAAAATCTTTTAAAATCCTGGAATCATTCCTACATTAACATCACAACCCTTCAGATAGTCTCTTAGATGCCATGTGTGCAGAATAGAACTGTGTTCTGTGGTGTTTCAAACCTATAGCCTTTTAGAAATGACTGGCCAAAGCTGACTTCCCAGGCACCTCTGGGTGGCATCGAAAAGCCATACTTCAGGTTAGGAGACAAGATTGTACTACCCTACAGCTCCTTTTTCTCTTAGCTCAATTATCTATTTCCCTGCGTTCCACATCATATAAGAACATGTGTTTACATATAAGTAAATACACGAGAGAAAAGACAGTCTGAAGCACCCAGCTCTCATGAACAGTGTCCAAGGGCTGTGCTGAAGTCACTGCTGGTGGGCTTTTGTTTGAAATGCCAGCCAGCTTTGGAGGGTTTATTACTGCTGTGGGTGACTGCCAAGAACTGGGGGGGTCACTGGAGAGGCTGTAGAAGGTTCGGGAGCCAGTGGAACCCAAAATGCACCGAGAATGTAGAGAGGCAGAGGGCAAGAGAGACTAGCGTCTAACAGACACAGCGATAAAAATGAGAAGCCTTAGTTCAGAGCGCTAGAAGTCACTGTTACCCAGTAACAACCATCCCCACCCCAGCTCGCTGAGGAGGCTCTGTCCTGCCCCTTCTCTGCAACTTTGTCGAAACTACATCCCAGCTGTAACATTAATGAGAACCCTAATTGAGATCTGGACCAGGACTTCCAACACTTGCCACAACTCCCTCACTCTGAATGCCAAGCCTCACCCATCCCTCCAACAAGTGCTAACCCGTTTCGAGAGAGGGCACCAAATCACACTTGAAAGGGCTCGCTCCCTGTTTCAGAGCTCATGCCAAGCTCTTGAACTTCCTCTTCGAGCAAACGAGTCGATGGTGTGTTGGCACGGGCTCTCGTAAGCACGCTTGCCCATGTAATAGTTATTTCGTGTGCATAACTAAGTGTACTAGAGAATGGAACAACGGTAACTAACACATTACCCTTCATCTGTGTGGGCACACCCAGGAGATGGTCCAGAAAAGCGAGTCACAGAATTTTTTGTTTGTTTCACAGTATGTATATGGGTTATATTCTACCTATGTCATAGTATGTTAAATGTGCAATAGCATTGTGAGAGCGTTTGAAATATTGTCAAAACGTGACACAGACACAGAGTGAGCACATGCTGTTGCAGAAATGGCACCAACAGACTTGGCCGGTGCAAGTTTGCTACAAAACTTCATTTGTGGGGGTAAGAAACTGGGGGGCAGTATCTGCAAAGTGCAATAAAGCACAATAGGAAATAATGCCTTCCAAAAAGGTGAAACCAGCTTTGCTGGTTAAAGTCTAGGCCAGTCACTCGTTGGAGTCTCATCTCCTCTTCAGCAAAGCCTCCCTTTGACGCCCACCACACCCATTCGGCAGGTGGGCCACGTTTGCCCACAGTGGCTTCTCACCTGTGCACACGCAGGTCCGGTTGAAGAACTTCCGGGGCCACTGCTCTCGGTCATCCTGGTTCCTCAGGACATAAGGGCCACTCCAGGGCCTGGTGTCAGCTTGAACCTCTGCGCACTGCCCCCGGCCCTCCTGCAAACCGCAGACGTTGGCCGGCTCCCTTCCCAGCACTGGGCAGCACTCCTTGGACACCAGGCTGCCCACTGTCATGCAGACCCGGGGAAACTGAGCCCAGGCTGCAGGCAGGATCCCACAGCTGAGGCAGATGACCAGAAGCCCCCACCAAGCAGGGCTCATGGCTTTCCACCTGGGAGAACTCGGCCTCACACCACCTCTTCCTCTACCGCTCTGTTCCTGGCCTGTCCTTCTCCCTGCCCTGAAATCTCAGCACTCAGTTACTCAGTTGTCTCTTTTTATAAATAACATTGTTCCCTTTTACATTCTCCCCTTCTCCTTCCTCTTAAAATACCCCAAAGTCACAGAAGACCCACGTGTGCACGTGTGTACATGCACATGCACACCCCCTTTTATGAGTAGGAGGCAGCGAAAACAATGCAATTTCCTTGAGAAGCTCCCCTAGCCTCCAGATTTAATGAGGGGGAGCGCTTCTCACCATTTCCCCGCGTTAAATCAGGCTTTGTCTAATTGAGTTAATTTACCGAATGCTCTAGCCATACTACTTATTATGCTGGTATTTCTAAACCCTCTCCTTTTCTCCTTGACTTTAATTGCCTTGAACTCAGTTCAAAAGCCAAACGCCGGCGCTGCCTTTATTCTGTTGGGCTTGCCAAACCACGGGGCCTTGTGGGGTTTGGGTAACGGCTGGGAGCAGCCGTCATTAGAGGGATTAGTATTAGAGAAATCCTCATCGTTGCCACATGACCCAAGTGCACAATGAGGTAGATAGAGTTTCTGGCTTTGTTTCAAGAGGGGAAAGCCATCTTCTTTATCTGGGCTTACGAGCTCCTGCCAAGCTTGTGACCTCAGCCAGCCAGGGAGTCAATGGACACAGTGATTGCTTGGTCAAAGGCCCCTTAGAGACAAGCGTGCATTGCTAACTACAATTCTCTCATGATTGCTCCCTGACGTGCGGGGAAGACCGCTGCAGGAGGTCACACAGCCTCCAAAATAAAGAAACATTGATTTAGGTCTGACGCACAAGGCATCGCTTTGTTCCACAATTAGGGATCCTCTTCCCTCCAGATAATAACTTACTATTCTCCGGGTTGGCGCGTCTACCCAGCAGAGTCTTTTAATTACACGACATAGCATGCTACCAGAAATTTGAAATGGTCCTCCTCTAATTGTAAGGAAGACAGCTGGGTAAGTCGGAGCGAGGGCTCACAAGCCCAGCGTTTGGTTCCTATTAGAAGTCAGGCATGTTGAGTCTAGACGACGATGACCCCCCCTGAGCTTCTGGGTGGGGCTGGTGGGGCTCTGGGGCCAGGGTGTGCTGATCACCAAGTGGGGCCATTTGCTGTGTCCTTCCTCAGAGAACAGGCCTTTCTCAATAAAAGTACCTAAGAGATGCAAATTGTGTCAGCCAACTTCTAGGATAACTTTTTACTTGGCCATAAAGAATGAAGGCTTATGTTGCAAAACCAGATTCCAAATGCCAAAAATGAAAATTGTATGTCGATGCTTCTGTTCCAGGGGCCTCTGTGTCACTACCAGAATGTCATTGTTAGGTGCTCTCAAGTCCGACTCCTAAAGCCCCAATGGACGACAAATCTGAACCCTGTCCTGTCCTGTGCCATCTTCACACCTCTGATACACTCATTTCCAAGTCATTGTGTTAATCCACCTGGTCTAGGATCTTTGTCTCTTTCACTGTCCTTCCGTATTCCCAAGCATGATATCCCTCTCCAATGAATAGCCTCTCCTTGAAGTATGTGAGACAAAGTTTTATCATCTTTGCCTCCAAGCAGCACTCTGGCTGCACCTTCTCTATGTTAGGTTGTGACTAATTCAATGGAGATCTCTACGTTAGATTCCAATTTCTTGGATGCAGAGACTGTTGAAACCAGCAGCTCGCGTGTCTGATTATCTCAGATCTAAGTCCAGGATCTCTTCCCTTCCTGCATCACCCACGCTCAGTAATTCATCTAATGCCTTTAAATATAACTGTTGTTGTTGTTGTTGTCATCGTGTCAAAGGTGACTCATAGTGACCCTATGAACGAAGGTCCTCAACACTTGTGTGATTTTCGCCCTTTCTCCAGGTTCATAGGGTTTCCAGAGGCAAGCTATTATGGAAGTGGATGCCACTCCTGCTTCCAAGCTTGTTTTAGTCAGGGAGTTCTGCCAAACACTGTCCACCATGGATAAAGCAGAGTGTCAGCACTCGCCAAGAATATGACACCTGCCCTGGCCCCAGGTATGTATCCCTTGCTCATATATTGTTGATAAAGATTAAAGACTATGTAGTGTTTGGCGTACATTATGCTCCAACATAAAGAAAACAAAATACTTCCCAATTGGAACAATAAGCAACATCATAATAAATGGAGAAATATTTAAGATACTGAAAAATTAATTTTACTTGAATCCACAATCCATGTTCACAGAAGCAGCAGTTAAGAAATCAAATAACACAGATTGGCATGGGGAAATGGGCTGCAGATGACCTCTCCAAAGTGCTCGAGAGCAAGATTACCCCTTTAAACACTAAGCTATCTTTGACCCAAGCCACAGTACCTTAAATTTTCTCATATTCAGGTGAAGGCTGGACAACGAGTAAGGAAGTTCAAAGAAGGATTTATGCCTTTGAATTGTTGGGCTGGCAAAGAATATTGAATACACCATGAACTGCCAAGAGAACAAGTAACTGCCTTGAAAGAAGTGATGCTCTTTAAATGTGAGGACAGGATTTTTTTTTTTCTTCACATACTTTGGTCATATTATCAAGAAGGGCAATTCCCTGAAGGAAGACATCACACTTAGTAGAGGGGGAAATAGGAAGACCCTAAATGAGATGGATTGACAAAAATGGGCTCATTGATAGCAATGACAGTGGGTATGGGAAGGACAGGCTGTGCTCTATTCTGCGGGACCTAGGCTTGCTACGAGTTGGACCCAATCTGACAGCATCTAATAACAACTCCCTAAATAGTTCCCACTAAACTTGTTCCTTCATTGATGTTCTCTGATCAGTCATCTTCGACTCTTCTCTTTGCTTCATCCCTCATGGTACTTAGAGAAAAATCTAAGGTCCTGGCCATGGTCAATAACAGTGCTGAGAAATCTTGGCAGTGTTACAGCTAAGTGCTTTTCTAGTAGCAAAAAAAGTCAACAGTTCAAACCCATCCAGAATCTCCAGGGGACCAAGAAGCATCCATCTGCTTCTACAATAATGACAGCTGAGAAATTCATATGGGACCCTTCTACTCTGTCACAGGGGGTTGTGAGGAGTCGGAAACTCCCTGAAGTCACCCAGTAACACAGCAGAGCTTCTCGAAGTGTGCTTTGCTGATCCCCGAACTATGTCCTTTCAGTTTACGTCAAGATATGTACAGAAAATGTGATTAATCATTTAGAAATTTCTATAGCAACTCAACACTTCCCCAAAAACAAGCACATGATCAGCGGATTCTACAGCCAACGAAGAGGGTATATTTCAGTTGAAGCAAGGTTTAGTTAGCACGGTGATTATCATGTGGTATAAGCTGCAAACTGGTCATGTGTAGGTTGACCCCTCATGTGTGTCTAAGTCTGATTTAGAAAGAATGAATTCTTTATCGATGATAACGTGAGAAGGACTGTTTTATGAGAGCTTATTTGATCTGTACGTTACCTCCCTGTCTTTGCCTCTTGTCCTGCGACCACTCTGTTACTCAAGCATGTGGCATTCATCTCCACTTAGACCTCGTACTGCTGTCCCCTCTTCCTGAAATGTCCTTTTTCACAATCTTCAAGAGAAACTTACTCTGGCCTCTACACTTTAACATCTCTACCCACCCAGCTGCTCTCAACCACATTGCACTGTTGTACTTTCTTCATAATACTCATCACTCTTTTGAAATGATTTCTTTTTTCAGTTGCTGATACTTCAGTCTCTCTGTTGGTGTTGAGTTCTGGAAAGGTAAGAACCTTAACTATCTTATTTCCTCAACATTTTAAAAAAGAGCTTATTCAAGAATATTGCCAATTTGATGGGTGAAGGAGTGTGTGTGAAGGAAATGGGAAAGACCTGGTGTGAAAAACAATGTATTCAAACCTTGTAAATAAACCAGTATTTAAAAAAAAAGAATATTGACAATAAAAAATGATCATGTACAGTTGCTCCACAATTATTATCCAATAATAGAAGAGATAAATCTTCTATTTAAAGTCTTCACTCATCAAAAGAACTTCACTGTTATAGTAATGGTTGTTAAGTGCCATTGAGTCTACAATGATTCATATGGTCCTAGAGATAACATATCTGAACCTTGCCCCATCTTGCACTACATAATGTTTGGGTGGTATCATAGTAAATATTATTAATCTCGATAGATACGGTAAACTTGGAGTAATAAAAGTGCCCACTGGGAGTATGTTACGGTTCTAAAGTGTTTGCAGACCACTATCCTCATGTAGCTCCGAACCCCACCCCACGTCCCCACCACCACCAAATGCCTTTCTCAATACTTTTGTCACGAATTCTCCAGAGTCTGTTAAATATCATTAGTAATAAGATTCTCACTGATTTCTAGGAACTCTTCTAAGTATTAGAAAATTCTCTTTACTTACTCATTGAACTTTTTCCTTTATCCACGCATCACGGGTAACCCCTCGGGCTCTGCAGAACAGGGCTGGGCTCTTTTCCATGGGCTTTCTGCTCTATCTTGTCTTCTGCCCCCACCCCCACCCCTCAGAGAACATATCCTCAGTTCTTTGAATTGTTTCCACTCAGGGTGGGTTTTTAATCCCACCATCCATCTGCTATCTTTTTCACTGGTCAATGCAGTCTCCTGAGTGACCTCCCAACCTGCATTTCCCATGCTGCCTTTCTGTGTTCTGAATCGGGTCTAAGCAAAGATATCTACAGTATATTAGCTCAGGGTCTTTGCTTAGCCGTCACATTTCTCCATCACTTTCATATTTATCAGCTAAGGTAAATACTATCTTGGGCTAAGGCTTGCTGCAGGTGTGACCTCAAAATCCCACTGTCTTATCAAACAAAAGTTCATTTCTTGCATACACTATGAGTGCCACACATCTGCTGGGATCCCCCATATCGTCTTCTCAAGACTCAGGGTGAAAACACATCCCCCCTGCCCCAATCCTTTTCTAATATCATTCATCTTGGGGCAAAGAAAAGCACAGAAAAGA